ATAACCATTATTATTGAGCAAAAAGAACATTTATTGTTATTAAATTTTCAAAACAATATTATAATATTTTTATCACATATAAATATTTATTAAATACAAAATTATTTCAAACTTTTTATCCTATTACATACTACGAAGTATATTTTAGTATATGGTATATAAGTTTTTCAACAAACTAAACAAAACAAAGTTAAAGTTGAAAGATGATATGCGTTGTATGCCATATATGTATTTTCGCATTATGTGTCATTACTTAATTGATTTATTTTAAATTTTTTATTTTAATTTTTTAATTAAATATTATTTCTTTATTATTTTTTTGAGTGATCATTTAGTTTGTATAAAACTTTTCACGTCACATAAGTGATCATTTAGTTTATATATATATATATATATATATATATATATATATATATATATATATATATATATATATAATCCACCATTTATTTTATATTTTTATTTTTCCAAATAACTAAATTTTATTAACTATATATTTACTAACTATATATTGTATTTTATTTCAAAATGTTTTATCTTGATCTGTAACTTTATTTAATTTGATATATATCATTCCCACAGATTAAATTAAATTAATTTATTTTTCTTGAAGTATAACACACGACATATAGGCCATATACCACATATGTATTTTTCAATGATTTATCATTACCTTAATTTATTTGGCATTTTTTATTTTTTCATTATTTAAATCAATTTTTATTAGTATATCATTTAATAACAATTTAATATTTTTGGTCAAGTTTCTCTATACTTTGACCACAATGTGTGTAAATTTATAAAAATTGCATCGTCCATTATATCCAATTTTGATGATATTTAATTATTGAAAACTGTATTTAATTTGTAATCAAAGTTTTACATAGTTTTACCAAAAAAATGTAACTATGATAATCTTAATTAATAGATACGAGAACACATCCCCAGCCCGTGCGAAGCACAGGGTAGAAATCTAGTTACATTTGTAGCATGATTTTTTAGAAATTAAGTTAGAAAGAAATTAAATTTATGCATTTAAGAGTTTGGTAAAAAAATCAAAACCAATGTGATTATCAAACAAATTGCAAAGAACATTTATTGACTATTTGATTAAAATCAAGGTGCTTTACGATTGAGGAAGATAAACTCAACTTGGATTCCGATCTTGGGTAATATTGGTGAGTAATCAAAGACGGCAGTTTTCTTATTTTTTCTATTTTTATGTAAATAAAAAAAGAGGTACCATAAAATCATAAAATTTTTAATACAGAAATTGTTGAAAAACTTTGTCAAATAATATTTCCTTTTTTGATTTTTTTAAATATGACAATTTGACTACAAATAAAATACATTTTAAATAAAAAAGACGTTACAAAAAGATTTATAACTCAAGTTATGGTCTTTGCTGGGGAATGTGTTAAATGGGCGGCCAAATTTATGGGATACTGTGAAGGCATCATTAGTTACTTTAATGGGTTGTGTTTTTATAGATATATTAATTACAAAGATTTAATTTTCTTTGAGAAATGTGTTTTACAATTATAGTTTTTTATTAGAAAGCCATTGAGAAGTGTCTCAAGATTTCTAAATCTTTGCATGATGATATTTTCATGGAAGAATGTGTTAAATGGGTGGGCCATTTATTGGATGTTTTGAAGACATCATTTCTTGCTTTAATAAGCTGGATTTTTATAGGCGTGTTAATTGAAAAAATTCGTTTTGATTGAGAAATATTTTTTACATGTAAGACACTAATCCGTCCAGGTCTGCATGCCTTTTCGGACTAAAGAATAAACTTGGAAATCGTAAAATTTAGAATATTTCAAACACTTTTATTTATCATAATAATATTATTTATAACAGAAATATTAAGGGGTTTTCAATGTTATAGAAGTTTAACAAATCACAATCACAAACCATAATTAATTTACGTCTTTTGAAATAATAATTCAAAACCATCACATCCATCCCGACAATCTCACATTCGTCTGTTGCCAGGATCATGTTACATCATTCTTTCTGTTTTCCTGCGTGTAGCAAATAAAACATACTACACGTTCAGCGTTGAAGCTGAGTAAGTATATTTAATGCATCGAACATCCATATAAACTGAATCTCAATTCATAATTAAATCATTTGATATCATGTGCATAACATTCAATTTAGATATTCAATATTCATGATATTGATAATGTCCATTTCATATCAGTTCATATAATTTCAACATATGTTATTCAATTCGGATATTCAATATTCATTATTTCAACAGTGCTCTTAAATTATTCTTAATCTAAGGCCAAATAATATTAATAACAAAGATCTTAAACTATTCTTAGTCTAAGACAATGTTTCTAACCAACTCTTAAACTATAATTAGTTCAAGGTACGTATTTCTTAACCAACTCTTAAATTATGATTAGCTTAAGGTACACATTTCTAACCAACTCTTAAACTATAAATAGTTTAAGGTACAACACAAGACTAACCGAACAACGGACTACTCACTGTCAAGTGGGTGGTATCCCCATACGAAATATCTTTTAGTTTGGTTTGCATATCCTATACGTACGTTTTTACCTAGGCCACCAGACTTCATGCCTGCAAGGCCTAATTTAACTAAGTTACGTGGGGTCTATCTTAGACTTCTTCTAAATAGCCTTAACAATACACATCGTTTTCATAATCATCAATATATTCATTTTTAATCAAAGTTCAATCATTCACAATTATCATTTTAATCAGGATATTTATCAAGGTTTAATCATCATAATCAACAATCAATTATAACCATCATAATATTCAATAACAAATAGCAGCCTAGCGTCGAGTGTTAACACTCTAGCTTAGAGTCATGGATCACACAAGGTTCTTGAATTGGTCAAAACATCATTTTTGTTTCTAAAAATCATTTTTTATTAATCATAGTTTAATGGTATCAAATATAGGATTTTACCGCTTCAAAATCAGATTTTTCATAATGGAAAATGTTTGAAACGATCGATCGTTACTGTCGGACAATCGACCATTTCTGCTACCGTCACTGGTTTGGAAACTAGCACCGAATGTACAATGTCTACCGTTCCAACGGTAGATGATTACCAGACGGTAGACCGCGGTGGGACGGCCGATGTTTATTATAGTTTTCAAGAGGATGAATGCAAATTGGCAGACCAAAACAGGAACTCGGGTATCATGATAATCGATTATCAAGTTCTGATAATCGACTATTTAGACCCGCTGTACATTCTATTTGATAGCAGAAGTCATGATAATCGATTATCACCTAGTGATAATCGACTATCAGGTGCTGCTGAATCTTAAGTTCAAAGGCTCCCAAGCTTGATAATCGATTATTATCAGGCGATAATCGATTTTCAGGTACTTTTGAAAGTTGATTTCTAGAACTGCAAAGCTAAATAATCGATTATCAATATTTGGTAGTCGACTATCAGCTAGTCCGGAACCCAACTAAGGAAAAACATGCTAAGAACCAAGGTATCGTTAACCTCAAGGAATTGAACCACCTGCTGAATGTTTGTTATGTATGTTGGATGACTTGAATATGTTCCTGGTTGAATCCAAGGAATTCATATCATCCATATCATCATCCTAGACGCATGTTATAGGATTCATTCGCATCATGTCATACCACTAAAGGGGTCAGACCTAGTGCACCTCTTTAGTGGGCCCGTCTAGGAGCCTTCGGGGTCCAACGAGTTTCATTCGGAGGGCTTGTGTACATACATGGTAACTAGGCTTTCAGTTACCACTCACTATTTCTAGTCTCCTTCAGGAGACTAAGGTTTCCTCAGCTCATCACCGTCGTGGGGTGATCACCGAAGGACAAGAGGTCCTGCACAGTCTAACTCATTCATCATGAATCATTTGGCATTGTATCGTTGTAAATAAGTATGCAGATCTTAATTATCAACTTTGTATGTGGTATCTCGTACATTAGTACATGTGAGAATATGGCTATGAGATTCATGTCATTCATATTGACCCATCATCATGAACAAATATCTTGATTATATTTTTAAGTATGGACTTGTATTTGTTCAAAACATATTGCACTTCATATCCAACACCGTTGGCGTCAAGGTCAAGGTATTTATATTTGGATAACATTCCAAAATGAATCTCCTTGATATGTATACGTGTATCTTGTATCTTGTGCTATCTACTATGCAACCATGAAAATTATGTGCCCAATGTGATGCATGGTATTTAAGTATAAATATGTTATCGATCTCTCGCGTTATCGTACCACTCAGCTTTATGTTGAGCGTGTAGTCTTTTTGTCTACACGTAGGTTGAAGCACAGATTATGTGAACCACCCGGAGGACGAAGAGACGATAAGATGACAGGTTGACATGCATGATTTTCACAAGGCATTTGAAGTTTTGGGCTTGACCCACATCATTGTCTTTGTATTATTTAAGTCTTCCGCTATCTCCGACATTTTGTAAAAGGATCGATCTGAATTTAATATGTTTTATTTTGAAGTTTTGTTTTATGAAGTTTATTTAATGATTTGGAAATGTTTTAAAAATATTGTTCTCGTTTCAACTTAATTCCTATAATTCCAGTTATATATATATATATATATATATATATATATATATATATATATATATATATATATATATATATATATATATATATATAGATATA